TCTTTTCTCTTTATTGCTCCGCGAAATTTTACACTTGATTATTTCTGGAAAACAAACTGCGCGTACTGGAACTGGAAAACAAACGGCTTCTCGACGCGTGATCGTACCGACTTCAGGACGTCATTCCAACATCGGGATTACGAAAAGGGTTTAAATCTCTGGATCTCAACCCCAGTTGAAATAGCTAAAAAACACATAGTTATTAAAAATTCTCCCAATAAAAACAAAACCTGCCAATGCTTTAATGCAGGGGCGTGCAAACTGCGGCCCGCGAAGTAAAATTGTGCGGCCCGCGGGAAAGTGTCAATTTTGAATGGTGTGCCCGCGAAATGAGTTTTCAGTTTAGGTAATATGACACGTAAGATAAACTAATCTCCTTGCGTCGCGAAGCCTATACCAGTACCTGAGTGCCACTGTCATTTCAGCAAAACTATCTGGCATAATCCTGTTGGAGAATACACAGTGTTTATAAGAGCGTGTTTCTGATAGAATCCGTTTAAAGTCGGTGTGACGATGAATTTGAATAGTAGTTTTCTCTTTTTGCGTTTTAACTCCACATTTCTACAAGGACCCCCCTGACAATGTCGTAATATCAATAACAAAATTAAACGATTTTTGTGCTAGCAGCTACCTCTACATACGAAATTAAGTCGTTCCTCCCCTTCGTAAAAAGAAAATTCCGTAAGTAGGGACACATTTTACCTGTAAATGCCCTAATCCGTTCTAAGCCCCACACAACTCGGACATAATATTTGTATAAATTATAACAATGGTTAAAACCAGTAGCAAATACATTAGAATTAGATTACTGCATGATGAATGGAAAAGGTACACGTGAAAAGAGGAAAGAACAGAGAAATACCGAATACAAATTACGGACTCTCGTAATCAGAGACTCTATAGGTGCAGCCCGCGGCTCACCCTGTTACTTGTATCTGGCCCTTCCGTAATAAATGTTGCACACCCCTGCTTTAATGTACGCTAAAATTATACTGCGGGCCGCAAGAAATGTGTCCGCGGGCCGCGTGCCAGAGTTTGGACCTCCCTGATTTGAGGTATTAGTTTAGGTTGAAGCATAAACGATACCTAACTTGAGTATATATCAACAAATTATTGTTATGCGACGCAAATTCCACAGATTCAAGAACACACTGCAAGTAGATGTTCAACAATAAGCGCGCGAAAACTTTTAAAAGAGTGTAGTTGATCGTGCGCCAAGTGTATATTCACAAGACATTTGATCAGTCTCTATAAAATGATATTGAAGGAGGATTTCATATGAGTAAACAATTGTAAATTGACCTCAATCAAGCTATTTCAAAACATACTGTTAGCGTACAAATGGTTAAAGTATATAAAAATCCAAGGCAAACAAGCATTTTCATTCAATTCGTGCTCGCTGCAGCCTCCGTTCTTACTAAACATGAAATGTGCAACTGCACTAAAGTTGCCCTTTGAACTTTGAAGTAAATCCGGATGAATGATAAAAAAGTTCATTTTACATAAAAACCCTCATTTTCACAGATATTATAATCGTATACTGAGTAAATTTCCTACACAAAAATAAAAATATATGTTAACATTCTGATAAATATACAAGAGACCAATGCTCAAATATATGGACACTCAGAACAATTCCCCAAAAATCATATGCGGTGACTTACCAGTACCTGTATAAATAAACAAAGCACCACACCACAGCAATCAAACAGACAAAAACACGGTGGTCGCAAATTGGTTGACAAAGATATTATCGGCGTAGTGGAAATACGCACTCCCCTATTCTCCCTCCTTTGAATGTAAAAACGCGAAACCTTCAAAGATGGTTAAAAGAAACACAACTCCAGCAACTCTACCCACCTGCCAAGTTTCATCTTTTTATCTCTTATATTTGTATGAATTTTCAAGCTTTTGACAGCTACGAGTTAGTTCAGTGTCACCGCGCTCTGTTACGGTACAAAAACTTCTCTATCTTTAAAAACATTGGGCTTCTAATTGCATTTCTGACCGTCATATATTTAAAGAACACGGTTATTCCGAACAACACTCGTGAAATTATAAACAAAGCACCACAACACAGCAATCAAACAGAAAAAACACGGTGGTCGCCAATTGGTTAGCACCACATCACAGCAATAAAACAGACAAAAACACGGTGGTCGCTAATTGGTTGACAAAGATATTATCGACGTATTGGAAATGAGCACACCCCTATTCCCCCTCCTACCTGTAATGCCAGACGCTTCTTCTTTGCAAAACCAACTTATTCGATTTATCACAGTATTATAACAGCAGATACCACAGTCTACAGATATATTCACACCAAGCGAAGCAGTACAGTACCGGTACGGTTTACCGTACCTCTAGAATCTAGATAGACCACAGTCTACAAATATATTCACACCAAGCGAAGCAGTGAAGTACGGTTTACGGTACCGTACCTCTAGTTTACAGTCTACAAATTTATTCACACCAAGCGAAGCAGTACAATACGGTCTACAGGTCTACCGTACCTTTAGCATCACCGCCATTCACCGGTACCGTACCTGTTGCTGTAGGCCTGCTATTCGATTGTGGAACGGTTATTTTCTGGCATATTAAACTCAATTCAATTTGCTCTTATCAAAATTAACAAATACGGTAGGCTAGATTTCCTAGAAAACCTACACTACTGCAGTAGTAAGATCGCGTAAGGAACAAGAGAGCTATGCTCAAATATATGGACACGTAGCGCCACCCAATGGCAATAATTTTGATGACGTCATAGCGAAAAAAAAAGTAATAGCCTTCTGGAGAAAAATTTTATCTTCAACCACTGAAAATTTCAAAGCAATTGGTCCAATATTCCAAGAGAAAAGCGACTTTTCAAAAACGTGTCAAAGAACAACAACAAGGATAACAAGAACAAGAACAACAACAACATAATATTGAAACGATCGTTATGTCCACTACGTGTCCAACAAGTCAATTTTACTGTAGTACGGTAACTTAGCAGTGCCGTAGCTGCAGGCTCAAAACAGTGTTCCCAAGAGTAAATTTTGAAACAGCGAAATTTTGAATGAATAATCAGATTTCATAGAATTCATAGAAAATTTGGAAATAAATAAAAGTAATAGCCTTCTGGAGGAAAATTTTATCTTCAGCCACTGAAAATTTCAAAGCAATTGGTCCAGTATTCGAAGAGAAAAGCGATTTTTTTTAAAATGATGGAGACAAATAATAACAAGAGAGCAATGCTCAAATATATGGACACGAAAAGCAATTTCCCGAAAATCATTTGAGGTAACTTAATAGTACCTGTATCAAAAACGTAACAAAACAGCAAAAATGAGAACAAGTATCACAATTGTACGGACATTCTCATTACAGCTAAAGAAAAATACACAATAATTGAATCAACCCGCAGACACACTACAAGTAAATAAATTCGGTAAGCTATGGTAAAATTGCCAAACTTACGACAAAATAGACTATTCTTATTTACAGTGATAACTCTATTGCAGTATTACCGGTACGGTATTAGGTAGGGTATGTTTTTAAGTCTGACATTCTATGGTACCGGTACGGTACCTGGGTACCTGCACCGCAATCATGAAAAAACTTTCAATACTGTCCCCATAAAAAATTTTCAATTCCAACTTTCGCTAAGGCGGTACGGTAACGTCCCCACAGAAAAGAAAACCAACATTATTGCAATACTGTACGGTACCGGTACAGTACCGGTACCGTAGTAAGACAGCGTAAGGAAAAATCGTAGCAAAGTACCGTAAGGACTTTGTTACGAACCATCGACGTTCGATGGTACGTGATCAAAAAGAAGAGGAGTGTCGGCTATGCGTCCGCAGAACGTTCGGTGACGTCATAGCAAACAAAAACAAATCTCACAGAGCTAACAGAAATATTTGAAATAAATAAAAGTAATAGCCTTCTGGAGAAAAATTTCATCTTTAACCAGTAAAAATTTCGAAGCAATCGGTCCAGTAATGAAAGAGAAAAGCGTATTTTTAGATTTTCCACTAGATGTCCAAAAAGTGTCAGAGAACAACAACAACAAGACCAACATAATATTGAAACGATCGTTATGTCCACTTCGTGTCCAACAATAAGAGAGCTATGCTCAAATATATGGACACGTAGCGCCACCCAGTGGGAATAATTTTGATGGCGTCATAGTGAAAAAAAAGTAATAGCCTCCTGGAGAAAAATTTTATCTTCAACCACTGAAAATTTCAAAGCAATTGGTCCAGTATTCGAAGAGAAAAGCGATTTCTTCAAAACATGTCAAAGAACAAGGACACTAAGAACAACAACAACATAATATTGAAACGATCGCTATGTCCACTACGTGTCCAATAACAACAAAATATTCTAACGACCTTTATGTCCATTTCGTGTCCAAAAATATTGAAACGATCGTTATGTCCATTTCGTGTCCAACAAGTCAGTCAGTAGAGACAGAACAACTTTGATATATGAAATTTGGTGAAAATGAATGCTTGGTATAATATGATTATAGACCAGAAAGTGGTTTCATCCGTCACTTTGTATTTTACTTGTCAGGAACTTTTCGTTGACGAAATCAAAGATGGCGTCATCGATCATTTCACAATAGAGATCAGTGACATAATTCCAAAGACAATGAGGTCGTATCAAGGATTGACACGGTCGAAACAATACAGATTAATCCCGGTTTGTTTTGATTATCTGTAACAAGTATTTTGGCGATAAGATATCACTTTGTATTTTATTTGTCAGGAACTTTTCGTTGATAAAATCAAAGATGGCGTCATCGATCAGTCAGTCGAGCATTTCACAATAGAGATCAGTGACATAATTTCAAAGACAATGAGGTCGTATCAAGGATAGACACGGTCTAAGCAATACAGATTAATCCCGGTTTGTTTTGATTATCTGTAACAAGTATTTTGGTGATAAGATAAGTGGTAGCCTGCAACATGTGAAGTCAGTGCTGAAAGTCAATGCAGCCAGTGCAAAACTGTTAGTCAGTGGTGGAACTTGCAAATTTGAAGATGTCTGTGTCTGTGCTATATGATTTGAGTGCTTGTTCAGCAATTTAGAGGGCAGTACGGGTAACATGATAGTTGGTATTAAGCTACGAGGCGTAGCTTGGCGGTTGCACTCGAGCACACTTACTGTATGTTATGTTGGCCAGATCATATTTGCAAATTATCGCTGGACAATTAAAACTAACTGAAAATATACGTCTGAGTATTTTAACACAAATATTACCACATGGAACAAAAGTTAAATCTGTAAAAAATTTTCCCATTTCCATTTACTTCATGATTTGTTACAAAACACATATATGTAGACGTAACCGGAGAGTAGCTTGAGGGGGCCACAACACTAGTCACAAAATTTATTTTATTTGCATGCTTTTCTCCTTATAGGGTAATACGGAGTAAACAATTACTCCGCGTACAATTACATAATCAAATTAAATGGAACATAGGAAAATACAAATTTTTGTGGTGATTTCTTCAAGAATGCGCCCACAGATCCGAGCTTATTGGCAGCGGTGGATTTTTATTGTATATATGCGTGTGTGCAGTTATCCGCATATTCATTACTCCTTCGTTTTCTTTATGATCTTATTACCGACCAGTCGATCGCGAGCTATTTTGAAGATTTTAGTCGATTCGGGTCGAAAGAAGGTTGGCCACCTCTGCTATATATGTACGAACAGTTTAGTATTCCGAGGTAGGTAAAATGTCAAAGTGAAATTTCACAGAAATCGAGAATTCTCCGCAAAATTTGCGTATCTTTGAAGACATAAATAGTAATTTTGATCACCCTATTTGATAATTGATATATCTGAATATACATGAATATATATATATATAATATGTATTTGAGATCGTATGTTATATTTCATAGCGGCATGTAAAAAGGGTTTGCTGACCAATATTACACAAAATGTGAAAATTGAATTGTTCGTGCAACATTGGGTGATTGCCATGCCCATAAGGTATTTGTAAAATCAAATGAGAATTTACATTTTACACAGATTTTGAATCGACGTAATTATGCATTTTAGCATAATTTCACCCGTATTTTTGTTAAACGGTGTATGGCCGTTTTAATATATATTTCCCGTACATATTCCAAATACCAAAGATAAAAAGCGACGTGACCACGCATCCCACAAAAACTATCCGCTATTTACCTTCAAAATGTATTCTACGGAATCTTGCTGAAATGTTTACACCTCTACACAGATATGTTGCGAAATGAACTGAATATCACAGTTCAAACAGCTGTCGAAGATTGTAGGCCTGTTTGTCTTGCCCAATTCCTGCGTCGTCATCAAGCCTACGACGTTGTCGGTAGAAATAACTCTTCTGTAAGTGACAGATATCTTCAATAATAGATATAGAACAGAACAAGCTAAGTTGTATATTACTAACAGGATTAGAAAATCATTACCCAAATGTAAATCATTGTTATATTGCCATAACAGGAGCGATTTAACTTCGGTAAGCGCGCGGAAATCGATATCGACGATGTTATATGGTCTTTGACTAAGTGTAGTCTTTTGTGGAATTAAAACGTCAATTACTAGCAGATGGGCAGAGACTTAATATATAACTGATACGAGTACTGAGCTTAAGGAGAGCATATAGAAGATATATGGCAGCATGAGCTGTACCGAATTTCGGTCGGTTTAGTAGAATGTGCTCTAAATTACGTATCTAAATGACTACAAACGGTTTCCCGGTTGAAGGTTGTTAAATAAGCGTTCATTATGCCTATATTGTTTTTGTGGTTTTCCACGTCGGTGGTTTTCAACAAATTTTGAGAATACACATTGACTCGCTTTTTGTGTATGGTTGCTTTGCCGACATAGGAATGGTAGTATAAATTACATAGCAGCAGTTAAACATTGCTGCGTTGTAAGGTACCAAATCGGATAATGTTATCGACAATTTTGCGAAAGTGATGTGGTTACGAAAACTTTAGTAAGCTTTTAAAGCATCAATTGAATTTCGATTCCCAACTTTAATGTCGGTTATTTTGATTGCGGGGAAGTTGAAAATCCAATACATCTTCGTGTGCAACCTCCACTCCCATTATCAGCAAAATTGCTAAAATTTGACCCCCAAATACCTTCGATATATATATTTTCTAGAGAGTTTGGTATTTTTAGACACTAAGTGTAATTGAAGCCGATAGAAGGCTATAACTTTAATTTTTTTTTTTAATTTACTCGGAGTCGAAAAATGCCAACTTGAAAAGAAAAATGGTCTTTGAAGCAAAGTTGAGTCTGAACTGAGAATTCTTCTTTTTACGGGACTTAGGTTGAGAGTCGTGTCTTCCAAAATAATTTGCACAAAACTGCTAAGCAAAATTAGTTGATCTATATTCGAATCTTCATTCTTTATCGGATTAAATGTAATTAGTTTCAGATTTTTGGCATTATTGCTTTTATAAAGTTTGAATGACTGAGACAAATTCTCAGTGGAGATGGGTCGTCTTAGTTGCATGCTTTATATCAACTGTAGGAAACTCAGTGTTTTTCTACGCATTCGGCACATTTGTTCTGTATTGGATTGACGCTTTTTCTGCAACAACGGCTTCTGTAGCAGCCGTCGCTAGTTCTGGATCAGCAATAGCGGCAATGGCATGTGAGGATGGATTATTTCTGTTTTGATTGATTTTTTAGTATTCCTGTAGTGTGTGCCAGGTTAGGGTTAGACCATAATGGACCTTTCCCCGACCTTTGACCCCCGAAAAATTCTTCCTATACTTTACCATTGCAAAATTTTCGGGGATATTTTAATAGTGCTTTTGCGAATTGGCGCCTGCAAAATGGGGTATGTGTTTCAAACCATCATTTTGATTCATCGCTTACAGTAATCTGTTTTTTAAAACTACCGGTAAAGAATTTTAGCCTAGTCTACCACAGCTATTTCTACACTAAATTTTTATTACTGCAATTAACTTAAAACCCCTAGAAAGACAGAGTGATCATTGGTTTATCTGATTTATATTTAAGTTTCCGAAACACAACTGAAAACTAACAAATAGAGTTCAAAAACGCGAAACATTGTTACGTCACTTTTTGTATCTTGCTGATTGGCCAATGTCACGAAGTAAACAAGGAAGTCGATGCTCGGGGAAAGGTCCATTTTATTCCGATTTTCCTCATTTTGGTTCTATTACGAATTCGGGAACTGTCTGTGTTAGCCAAGTGAATATACCCCTTGTCCATAGTTTTGATTACCGTTACACAACTTGATGTAAACCAGGCAAACAAAATTAGTTACCTCCATATTGGTGCACACACTTCTAGAGCGCCGATTTTTTTTTACTACGGAGTAGGTACTCCAAAGAAGTAGACTTGTTCATGCCATAATGCATGACTGACTCATTAGCATTATCATGAATAATTATATATATCAAACGTCTTGGCATATTCTCGGCCCCTTTGTCATTAAACTGCATTATAACGTACATCTGGAGTAGGCTAATAGCTTTCTTTGCCGCGTTAAATTTGTAGATGGATTACTAAATTCATTGGCTTAACAATTGATCTTCAGTGAATCCCTGGTTTCATTTTCCATAAACAACCTTGTACATGGAATGCCGAAATGGTCGAACAAGCTGTTTCCCGACTCACGCTGGTAGCGAAAAAAATCAAGTTTACATCTTTCCAAGCTAAATAACAAGACTATAACGTTTTAGCTCCAATTTAAATAATAATGACTTATCATTTTTAATTCTGGAGAGCCAGATAGGCTACAAATAACGTTCTGTTATTTGATTCCTACGAAAGTCTTTGTTCGAATTTTGGGAATTGGGGTTGGTGCTATACCGTGTGTTGATTTTCAGGTCCTTTCGGTTGCTTTATTGTTGATAAATGGGGATACAGATGGACTCATGTTCTCGGGGGAATCATGATGATGATGTCATTTGCAGCTTCTTCCTTAGCCCAAACATTATCTCAACTGTTTTTTACGTACAGTGCCTTAGGAGGTAAGGTTCTAACAATATTATTCCTTTCGTATTTCAATGTACAAATAACAAGAGAGTAGGGCTCAAATATATGGACACGAAGATTAAAACGAACGAAGTAGTATCAAATATTTTACAGTAAAGGTAGTTTGACCACCAGATCACTGAGATGTGATCACGGAATCAATGCACAATTTTGATAACTTGATCACACAAATCTTCGAAGTGAAAAACGAATCTCATAGAACCTTCAGATATTTTACAGATGCCCTAGTCTCGTAGGTAATAAGAAACAACAGAAACATTCTTTTTTCAGGTTTGGGATGTTGCTTCTGCATGGTTTCATACGTAAATGCTGTGAGTGAGCATTTTCATGATCAAAGACCACTTGCTTTTGCATTGGTAACGAGTGCCTATGGACTTGGAAGCTTTATATTCCCCCTGTATTTTGAAATGCTCATCGCAGAATACAATTGGAGGGGGGCCATGTTAATCACTTCAGGTTTCTTTGGTAACATGATTGCATGTGGCTTATTACTCTATCCTGTTAGGGCGTCACCTCCCTTTCCAATTCTCCGGTGTTGGAAGCTGAAAAGCAAAAATTCAAATACACAAAGAAAAAGTCTGGCACCCCTAATTTCGGAACATGGAACGGACTGTTATGAAGCCAAAATAACGTCGTCGGAAGACAACATTTCTTTTGGCGGAAATGTACAACCAAATGAAAAACTTGTCATAACTTCGAAGGACGAAAACGATAATTTTAATTTTGACAAGGCAAGTTCAGAAAAATTATCTGATGACGAATGTTATGAACTCGGCAAAAACGAATTAACATTTTTTCAAATTGCAAAGATATTATTCAGCGGCTGTACATTTTATATAGTCATTGCACATAATACTATTTTATACATGGGATATTTCATTGTACTCGGCTTGACAACAGCAAGAGCATCTTACGATTTAAACTTCACCGAGGAACAAGGTGAGGAGAGATTACATTTTAAATTGTCTTGTCATTTTGCAATTAAATAAGACACATTTAACAACGTAGTGAACTTATCGTACTGATTGTATAATAACGTCGATACTTGTATTTTTCAGCTGCACAGGTAGTTTCAACGTTTGGCATCAATGCAATATTTCGGATATTGCTAGGTCTTCTATCAAAATGGAAGTTCGTAAAATCGTATTATGTGTATTTTTCATGCTTCGCAATTGCTGGAGTCCTAACGTTACTTTCTGTGTTTGCCAAATCGTTCGCTATGCAAATTGCTTACGGTGTCTGTTGTGGTGCTCTCTTTGCCGCCATAACACATTATCAAGTGCTTGTACATGAAATTTATGGTAAGTATCAAACATTTAAATTGCCCTTCAGAAAATAATTTATAATAATTTGAATGACTTATACTACTTTACTAGAGCAAGATACGATTTTTATAGATAAGCAATTGCTTTGTCTTTGTAGGACAGGACTGATTTGAATTTCAAATTTTATTGTAGTTTTCGTCATTTCATTTTAACAATATAATAACAATTCCACTTTTCATAATTTTGACAGCAATCACAACAAATATATTTGAATTTTGTATTCAGTTGATTCACCCGTTTTCGCAAAACCATTTCGATTATACGTGCTTGGTATGTTTGTGGGTTAACATGTTCGTGTTTTTTTTATTACGCCATTTACTTATGCCGAAACAGTAATCTGCAACACATTTTTAAATTTATTGTTCTCATTTTACCATTCATTTCACACAGGTGCCAAATTCTTCAATGTTGCATTCGGTTTTCTTGAATTGATGCATGGGGTCGGTATTGTAACCGGACCAATAATTGGAGGAATTCTCATCGATGTGACAGGATCCAGTGTCTGGACTTTTATATTTGCCGGATCAACAATACTCTTGGCTACGTTCCTTTTGCCCATTGGTTTTGCTTTAACTGGACAAATTAAAAAGTTGAATTTTTAAATAAGCTTTATATTTTTTACTCCAAATAAGTACTCAATTCTCATTTGATTGACAACAACAATTCTATAAAATGGAATTGCTGCGATTTATAAGGTAGTTTTGTTTATCTTTTTACTTTTTCAGTCACATGGTTTGCCATCTGACTTCTAAATGTAAAGACTCTCCAATATCTGCCATTCCATCTGATTTCAACTAGAACATTTCGATAACTATATTTCTTTTATTTCTTTTTTCTTTTCAAACATTGTTCACTGCTAAATATAATAAAATGCACTTAATAAAATGTGTTTAAATATAGAAAACTTAGGATTTTATGCTTTAAATATCTTGTTAAATATACAAATGCTTGAAATTCTCTTATGGCGATTTATGGGTATCTTAATCAGTGATGGGATTTGAAATGTTAAGAAAGGTTCTCTTTTTTTTATTAAACTCACTAGCAACCGATTCCCTCATTTCAGAATACATCAATTCTTTTGATGTGGAGGAATCGTCCTTCAAAAACTTGAGTTATATATATGTATTGAGGAGCATATCGAAAAACAATGCGCCGATTTTTATTACTATATTTTTAATGTATGAAAGAACTCTGAAGTGTGGCTGGTTCTTTAAAGTTGATGACCACCGGTTCCTCCTTCTGACTTACTCCAAAGCAGTGTTTCTCATACTTTTTTCCAGCAGTGCCCCTTTTTAATCAACAAACGCTCCTCTGAATAAAAAGTCGACATAAATTTATTCTCTATTTATCATTAGACTAATGGAGAGGTTGGCAACCCCTGGCACGCGTGACAAACTTGACACGCAGCACAGCTATCCAGTACGCGAGCGAGGCCTCCGAAACGAGCTCATCCCATATCAGAATAGCCACCTGACTGACTAATCTTGTAGTTCATGTATTTCTCGAAGGTCACAAAATATAAACCCGATGTAACATCGCTGTCAGCGGCGTCTCTCTGATATAGCATAAAAAAAAGTAATAAATTAATTTGTCGGGCTAATATTTTCTTTAAAAGTAACCTGGTCTAGTGAGATGAGGGAGCATGGTGAAATACGATTGGCCTAATAATATCCGGCATCATTTTATTCAGAAACAGTCTTATTTAGGGTTGTCAACCGCCCCACATTGGACAGAAAATGGACCTATGAATTGTTTTATTAATATTATGTCGTTGTTGTTGGTATTTTTCTTCTTGTTCGTTATTTTTTGATTATCACTTCAAAATTTTGTGTGATGACTAGGGCTGGGAATTTCAAGGGCAAAATTAACCGGTTGACCGCAGCGTGACGTGGAGATAGTTTCATGATCGCTCTGCTGCAAGAGATATGCAGCAGCGTGCTTCGGACATTTGGAAATATTTTACTAAATCCGAATCCCGAATCCGTTATTAAATGTCATTCATGTGACAAATTTTCAGTGTTCGACGTGCAAATTTTACTCTGAGATATCACAAAGAAAAACAGCATCAACTGCGAACTTGTTGGATGATATTGAATATACGATTTAGCAATATAAACTTCTGAATTTATCATTGTCAAATTTTCATAATTAGCAATCTTAGTACTTCAATTATTTTTCACCTTTATTTGGTCCTTACAAATACAGTTAGTGATATTCTTTTGAATTAAACGCCACAGGAGATAAATTTGCAATGACGTAATCATTTTTTTTTTTTTAAATTGTACATTATGAAGATGATTTGTACCTGAGATACCACTTAACGGTTAAAATAAATCGTAACCGTTAACCATTCCCAGCCCTAGTGAGGACCTCTCGAAAATTAATTATTTGTAACGGTTCCTCGACCTCTTTAATTGACCCCTTCTGTCCTTCATTGAAGTTAGAGAGGGCATTTATTGTCCTATATTTGCATCGCTTTTACTATAAGAGCTATAAAACATACAAAAGTTATAAAAAAAAAATAAATAATTACTTACAGTGTACACTAAACAATAGTCTTGGTCGTTCAATACAAACGCGTTTAAGTACTGTTCTGGACTAGTTTTGATTGCTGTTGACAAGGAGGTCTAAGAGGACGGCTGAGAGGTTGTTGAGTTGAGTTGAGATGTTGGCTGTGACGAGATAGGAGTGCGCGTTCCCCCTGCTAAGATTACATCAGCAACAGATGTTATTATTATTTTGACTAATTTGAGAAATAAGTTGAAATATCTATATATACCAATGTTTCTCGACTTTTTATTACTTGCGGATCCCTTTTGGTTTGCCAATATATAGTCACGGACTATAACAGTGCCAACTGTAATTCCAGCGTGTCACTAGTTTATCCCAAAATCAACTCTGCCATGTTCAAAGCGCAGGGTTCTGATAGCGTTTCTCATATCACGTTATTTTTTTTTTGCTTAGCGGTTTGTAGTGCCACATTGTAAGAAACCCGAACGAAAACAGCGCTTTGCTGTGGAAAATATCCTTTTGCATCCAATTTTTGTCGTTTCAGAGACAGTTCTTATTTTTAAAGAAATATGAATCCTTTCCCGCATACTTTGAATGTTCCGCCTGCAGGTGCTGAAAATGCTTTGCGAACCCCCGGTTAAAAAACAATGTAATTTTCAAATTTGATGACTAGATCGTTTTGCACTTCAACAACAATAACATGTTTTTAAAAAATAACAAAATTGTAGCCTAACCGGTTTACAAACATATACGTGCAGGGGCGTGTCTAGAGGGACCATTGAGGGGTGAGTTTGTTGCTTAGTTTAATAATTTCGGACTTAGGTAATGATAACAATACAAACATTTCATTCTTACTCAATATTTTTAAAGTTAGATAAAAGGAGCATTGTTAACATTAACATAATCATTTACAAAATAACTTTTGGATAAATTCGGTTTACGACAGATCCGAATATTTTGTTAACGTGTCTGACCTATAGAGTTTAGTTAGGTTGGGAAACGACATTGATAAATCACTATGAAGATATTAAGTCTAAATGCCTGAGATACTTTTGTAGCATTGCGAAATTTGTCGGTTTGTTCTCGAAGAACGCAATTTTCGTCAGCTACTTCAGAATATTTGACAAAGCAAGATTTGATTGAGTACCACTTTGACGCCAAATCGATTATTGAGCGACTTAGATACTGGGTTATCAATATGAACGATGAAATTACTCGATAGAATTGCCGCTTGTGAATTGTTTTGATTTTACCCAAAACAACGAGACTAAAACTGAGCTTCGAAAACTACAGTGTATAAATCATACTGCGCATTGATCAAGTTTCGAGTTCCAACTATAATTCGACGACTTTATATTTATTTACAGAAAAGAACAAATTCGTCATATGGGTAACCAATAGCATTATTATGCCAGCTTTACTCACGTACTAGCAATTATGAAGTCAAGTACAGTCGGGTATCCTATTCACGTCGAGCTTAACCTAGGCATAAAGCCATTATTAGAACATGCCTTGGTTTAAATTACCAGAAGCAGTATATTATATAAAAAGTTTGCTCTAAATATCACTGATAAATTTAAGACCGCCGATTTTACGGTGGGAAAGGAGAAAAGGAATAACATACCCAAACTTTATATACCGTAATCAAAAGATTATAATTGCTATTTTATATCCATACGCCGAACAAAATTTGCATTTGTTGTCATTTGTAAAATTCGCATCAACATGGAGTATGCCGCAAAACCCCATGAGGCACATAATATCGCCGGACCAAGGGATCACCTCATGTAACTCGAGTGATTACTTAAATCTTTCATCGGTCGTTTTCTAATTTGATTTCAGTTATTTAATTATGTGATATCGCTAATCCGTTTGAGCGGGAATGTAGAGAAGCGCTTCGTTTTTCTCAACCAGTCACTGGGGTGCGTGGTGACGAACGATTGGTCTATTTTGTATGAGCTTTGGCTATTCAACGTAGACTTTGATTCTTTTTACGCAACATTAAGGTAAGCGATGTTTTTTGATAAATAAAGTAGATATATATATTAAGCTGCTGTTATAATTCTGTTATTCCTGGCAGTATGTTCTATAAATGGCGAATTATAATACTTTCTGGGTTCTGACAGGTCAAGATTTTAAGTGGTCGATAATCGCTGAGGTAAACAACATAATCAAAAAGACTATAAGAGCATGGACCCTCCGAGATAAAATGGCAACCGTATATGGAATCTAATTTAAATTTACAACTTGACCACGCCAAAGTTTGATTCCCAGATAAGACGAGATTTCTAAAATACAAAGTTAATCAAACAAACTAATCAAGCGGGAATTGGTTACCCAAATTAGTGAGACTTTCTGCGAGCATTCTACGAAATATCAACTGATTTAATTGGTTGACTGTAAGTGAAAATCGAAATGAAAAAAAACGCCACAGCATCAAATTCATAACAAAAACAATAAAAATATCCGGGCTGCGAGTGATAGGTCTGTCGCGCATTAATTGATTTACTTTTGGAAGACATTGTTTAACTCATGGGTTCTCAAACTGAAGACAAATTTTGAAGTAAAGAAGGACATGATCAAACGTGATTGTTGATCACAGAGCAAATTGCAATCTACTCTATTATGCTCTTACTTTAAAGAGATAACCTAGCACCATTTTCTGTATTTCACTTAGATCACACTAGCATAGACTATCTGTCCACAGTTGAGGGGATGAATTTTAATCAGAAAATTTCACGAAGTGTGAAAGAGAAAATAAAGTTTGAAAACCACAGAACTGTAGAATTGTTGAATTCAAATTATTTGTCTGTGTAGCTTAAAAAGAATCGTTATTTTCAGGAGTAGTTTAGTTATTTCAATTGGTATTCGAATGTAAAACAAGGCAAAAATAAAAGTCACAGTTTGCGTGCTGTGATACTCAAGAGTAACAGCATTAGCATTTGTATTTTGAGTAATACACATTGTGGTTTGCCTACCCGTGACAGGGAGATATATATATATATGTGGGTCGTTCTAGTTGTTCCCGGCCTCGTTTTGATAAAGTCGACAAAATTTAAGATTAGAGCAAAACTTGTTTTATTTCAGTCACTTTTTAAAAATCCTTATGTAAATGATCATAGTAAAATGATTAGACGAATTCCATGATCATTCACACATTTGACATTACATTCGTGTTTGACATTTCCTGAACATCTCTACACTTCTGTTAGATTCGAGGTTCAATGAATTGTGCCAACTAAAAATCCAACAGTTTGATTTGTCCAGTTAACCATAATCCAATGGGCAGAATAAATGATCCAACAAGTAAGGATAGTCCGGCAAAAATGAAAGTCGATACGCTGGAACCTGTTACATCAAAGAGTATTCCTCCAATGATTGTACCCGTGATAACACCGATTCCATGCATAACTTCAAGATAGCCGAACGCAATATTAAAAAATTCAGATCCTGTCGAGAAAATATAGTTTTGAAGTATAAAATATAAGTATAAACTCTAATAGGATTATCAATTACTGAACTATAAAACAATTTTATAATGTCTTTTTCCCAAAACATTTCATAACATCTTAATCGCGGTTTCTAACAAATTGAGAATGTGATATACCCTAGTGATATAACAATGTGATATGATTTGTGTGTTGAATACATAAGCGAGAGACAGCGTGTTAAACGTCGAAATCAAGCGATAATTGCTCTGTAAATGAAAATGAATACATTTTTGCTCTCACTCCCAACTAGTTTTTAACTTACCAAAAATTTCATACACCACAACTGGATAGTGAGTCAATCCTGCAAGCATAGCACCCCAACAGAGACCGTAAACAATTTGCATGGTGAATGATTTGGCAAATACGGAAAGTAAAGTTAAAACTCCAGCAAGGCTGAAGCATGAGAAATACACATTGTATGTTTTAACAACCTTCCATCTCGATAGTAGACCATACAATATACGAAATATTGCGTTGATTCCAAACGTTGAAACTATTTGAGCAGCTGAAAATATAAATAATGTGCAGAATTCGACATTCACAACATGATTTCAAACAAAAAGAGAATTATGCGAAATAATGAAAAGTTCTTAGAGTGATCTATTGTAATTCTGAAATCAAACATGGTATGCAATTTCGGGGGAATTAGATCACCGTCTCATGTATTTACATATAAGCAAAATTGATTTCCCAACAACCCATTTTACAACAAATAAAAAGAAAAAATATTAACATTGATTGAAACTCACCTTGCTCTTCTGTTAAATTTAAATCGTACGATGCTCTTGCTGTTGTCAAACTGAGAACAATGAAAATGCCCATATACAATACTGTATTATGGATAACCACTAGATAAAACGACCAACTGCTTGCCAATATTTTAGTTACTTGAAAATATGATAATTTTTTATCGACGCGTGGCAAGTCACTACAATCGTTTTTATTATTCTTTATTGCCTGTGATTGGTCATTGTTGAGGATATCGTCGGTTTGTTTACGTCTTGTGGCATCTATCGATGTTGACCTGCTTTCGTTGGCAAGAAGGATACTTGTTATTGATGTTTGTAGGCCGTCCTTATAAATATTGCTGTCTTCTAAGATCAGTGATGACGGACTCGTTCTTGTATCAATTTGCTTTTGCTTCCTACATGAGAAAGAAGGTAGTGGTGGGGATGCATCAACGGGATAGAGGAGTAGACCACTAACAATCATGTTGCCGAAGAAACCTGAAGTTATTAACATAACCCCTCTCCACGAATATGGTTCAATTAGTGCTTCAAAATACAATGGAAATACAAAGCTTGCTATTCCAAATGCGCTTGATATCAAGCCAAATGCAAGAGCTTTTTCGTCAAGGAAATGTTCAATAACAGCGTTGATATATGAAGTAAGACAGAAACAAAATCCCAGACCTGAAAATGAACAATATTGATTCACGCCACAGTGTTAGCTTAATGGAAGGTAATAAGATAATGTTGAATATTATAATCGACTTTGAAAGAAGTGATTCATCGAAACATTGCCATTTGCGAGATGTAACGCTTCATGCAAAACTTACTGCCAAACCAAGTCTGGATCAATAACGAGTTCAACATTCAAACACAATTATTGAAATCTATTGATATGCGATTTATGTCAGCTTTAATATATTTGAGCTGCTTTAAATTAAACGTATTATTGCAAAATAAACAAATGAATATATATTGAATTCTCACCTCCTAAAATGCTATACGTAAAAAATAATTGAGATAATGTTTGTGCAAACGAGGAAGTTGCAAATGCCGTCATCATCATGATTCCTCCAATGACATGAGTCCATCTATATCCCAATTTTTCAACACAAAAACAACCGAAGGGACCTTTGAATTTAAAATAATTGAAATTTTGATATTGATGAGTGCGACTGCTAGATTCTTCACTAAATAAATTCCACAATTAAGCTTGGTTACTGGTAGTTTTTCCGCTTACATTCTCATACTATCAACATATAAAGCTGTGACATAATGTACATTGCGCAGTGTATATGCCGTTAACAAGACCAACAAGTTGAATTAATAAAGTTCCGTTTATTTGCCACGTGTAATTAAATATCAGCTCTAATACTATGGCTGGATATTACTTCACATAGTTCATAGTGTTTTTTTGAGTAGAGTCCAAGTTTAGTGATTATAAAGCTAGAAATCCGGAGATCTTACAGAACGTTTTTGAATTACGGCCGGATGACACAACTACTCGAGCTAATATTTACCTTATCCGTCAAGTCGTTCTTCATGACACAAAAGCATGACACGTTGTATTACTAATCTGTATTAAATTCAAGTTCAAGTATTTCAAATGTTTTACAAATACGGAAAATAGGTTTGAATATACCTCTAATCAAGTCATGCCTGGAATGGGTTACGCACAGCATGGTTATCTGTTTTGAACACAATCAATTAAATATTTATTCGGTGGGGGAAGTGAATATATCCAACCATACACACTTGCAATTGAAGCAATCGCTGGTCCCGCACTTGAAACGGCCGCTACAGAAGCAGTTGTTGCTGAAAATTCGTCTATCCAATACAATACAAATGTTCCAAAGGCATAGTAAAATATTGAAATACATATCGCTGATACGAAGCAAGCGATTAAAACTACCCATCGCCATCTTGAACCGGAATCAGTCATATAAAAATTTTGTAACCTGACATAATAACCTGAAATATAACTATGTTACTTCATATTAGTTTGTATCGGTGGTTTTGCAGTATTTTTATCTTTTCAACAGAAAACTGAATTTTTGTATTGAACTCAAACAATATCAGCACAAAATTATAAAATTAAATGATATTTCCGACCTGGACGGAAAATATCACGGAACAAGGAAATGCGTCTTCCGTGCACAGTTTATGATTTACCTCTGGCCTTCACTTTTCTTAAATAATTCTGAAATAATTTTTGACCGTCGATGTTTTTCCACCTACTGTCTTGGGTCGAAAACATTACTTACTTGTTAGCGTTGCATTCTGTTCATGTGGGCTTTCCCCTTCGACTGACCAAATTTATACACTAAACAGCTCAGAGCTGAATCTGTAACTTGATTTGTGAGTATACATTGAACCTATAAGAGCTTCGAAAGCATATAAAAATGTGACCTAATGATTCAATTCTAGCAGAGAAGATGTTTAAAATGTTGATTTTAAAGTATAATTTAAAATAATCGCTTCTTAGTAAATAACTAAATACAAAATCAACCTGTACTTCCATTTATAATACACAGCACTCACTTATACCCTCTCTAATGTAAGATTTCGATCATCTACACAATGTTCTGCCAGTACTAATGCAAATGTTTACTATTTCCCCATTTGTCAATGCAAACATCAAGAGCTTTATATTTACACAGCATCCTTGGTCGCGTTAGGTACGAATCATTCCAAGTTAAGTTAGTTTAAAAATTAATTTACCTAAATTGGCAAAAGAAAAAAAAAAGCAATATTTCCATTTCACATTTTGTAAGATCGGACTGAAATATACAAACACATTGCATTGTATTTATACAATGTACTTTATTTTTATACAACCAATTATACATTGTACGATAATAAATCAGTTGCATTTAATTAAAACCTTTTTTTTCAGAAAAACAAATAAAAATATTCACACAGTAAAATCTTCTAATAGCCTCCGAACGAAAATTGCGGAAGAGTTTTTATTGAAAATATTAACATGTTGTAGAGCGGTTGTTCTCAACCTTTTATGGCTCGTGGCCTCATTCCGGCATCTTTTAGCACCCGTGGCTCTCCATCATTCAAAAACTAGACGTGTTCGAGTCTATTATATATTTAAAACCTTTTATGGAGTGCAAAAACAAAACCACGGGGAAGAAAATTAAAGCTTTCGGTATACTAGCTTGGAACTGTCTGACGAGGTTTCTTATATTAGGCACCGTTTTTGATACCAGACGAACGTCACTGTCAACATCAAGACGTTTCTAGATTTTGTTTTGATGGTGACAAGATCAGAAAAAACAGATTCTCACAGATAGGTTGTGGGAAACATTAACCCACACTCGTAATTCTGATTTTATTTCTCTCACATACTAAGTCATATTTGTATCAACGACGTTGTAAACATGTATATATACAACATGGTGAGTGTAACTAAGCAAACACAATATATGTTTGAATAGCACGTTTATTCGAAGCTTGCATTCGAGTAAAAGCTATTCAAATGACATTCTACGAGCATTCTTTGAAATATCAACTAATCTCATTGGTTGTCTGTAAATGCCACAGGCATTAGAACTACCCGCGAAGATAATTCAAAAAATCGAGAAGTCTTGATCTATGACGATCTATGAACACAATGTCTGTGAAAAAGATGGAACTTGAATCGAAAAAGTTAACAAAAGAAATACGTAAGACAGCCTACAATGTTGTTACGTATCATAGATATCAGTGCGCCGTGACAGATAGTTCGGAAGAGCAGCTCCTCTCATACTACAAAAATGCTGAACCCGACAAGAAAACGTATTAAGATATCGCAATCGTGGGAGTAAGATGAAGTCGAAATGCAAGTACGCCACCCCATCAGAATCATAACAAAAACAATAAATGTATCTTTCTTCCAAAATTTTCGCAAAAAATCTATTCTACGCGTAATGATGATGCATTCATTACTCGGATCTAGGGAGATAGATCTATAGCTTATTTGTCGATATATTTTTGAGAGACATTGTTCAACTCAGGGATTCCCAACCTTGGGAACATTTTCAAGCAATGAAGCACATGAGCAAATGTGACTGTTGATCAAAGAGCAGATTGCGAAGTATACTCTATGACGTTCTCACTTCAAAACAGTGTCTATCCCAGCATCAGTTTTTGTATTTCACTTACAGCACCTTGGAATATCTATCCACAGTTGAGGGGATGAATTTTATTTATGAAATTTCACGAAGTGTGAAAGGGAGAATAAAAGTTGAAAACCTTTGAACTGTACAATTGTTAATTCCATCATATTTGTCTGTGTATCCTAAAGAAGAATCATTATTTTCAGAAGTTTAATTACTTTAATTGGTAGTCGAATGTAAAACAAGGCAAAACTAAAAGTTACCGTTTTTGTGTGAAACTAAAGAGTAATAAACTATATGGTGAGTAACAGCATTAGCTTTTTTATTTTGAGTAATACACATTGTGGATTGCATCATAGTTTACTCAATATAGTTCGCTCACGGCCGATTCGCTACGCATGAGTGATGCTCATCAGTTTGGTATAGTAGGGGCAGAGTAATTCTACTGTTCTGTGATTGCATTTATCGAATAGTAATTAAAGGTTTATACCAGGATTATAGCACAAAAGTAAGAATTCAGATACTCTCGGGTAGGGATGGACGATATAAAATGCCGAATCTGGGGGATTCGAATCCCTAGAACACGGTTTCCGCCTCTTCGGCGCCATGTCTCAATTTTAGTATTTCGGATTTATAATTTATTAATCAGGGACGAGCGTTATTTTTTCGCGACGAAATCGGTCTCGTGTGATTACACTCGTGTTTTCTCCCAAAGAGCCCCCAAAAGCGTTTGCGGCAGACATCTAACACCGTGATTTCAGCTTGAATATTCAGAACGCGAAGACGGCGTTATTGCCCCGTTTTAATCATTGGTGCCGACTGCCATCTTACAGGCGATTTTCCAATTGCAACAATCTTAATTTTTTTGGAATAGTGAAACATTTTTTATTTCAAATTGAATGACTTTTCGAGTTCTTCCGGAAAATGATGAGTACTCGACGTTAAATGATAAAACATTATTTGCGATAAAATTAGATCAAATTCTACTTTTCACTACACCCGGTTTCCGAAAATACGAAGTTATAACGCAAAGCAATGCGTTTTGTTACATTTATTTAGCGCTCCCAATAAAATACATATGTCTTGGATTTCGAGTCGCTGATAAATCCGTTCCTATCGCCCGAGCGCGGCACACGCCTGGTCGAGTGTCGCGCGGTAGTCTAGTGAACGATAAATTAAAATAGTTGCCATACATGGTATGTATAACGAGGTGACCGTACATTTGAACCCACGTACATTTGAACCCATGTCTATATCCGCGGGTTCAATCAATATGCGGGTGCTGAAACCCATGGGTTAGGGTTAGTATGGGTTCCGTACAACATCCGTACAACAAAAAATTTCCATAGGTGCAATAGTATGCAGGTGCAATTGCCATGGGTTCAAATGTACGTGGGTTCAAATGTAATGGAACCGTATAACGACGATGACTGGAAATTGATAATTTGGTAACAGTAATGAATTTGTCTCAAGATGTTATTTTATAAATTTTCCTCGCAGAAGCAATCGATTTCTGTCAAAGCACAAGACATTCAAACAATATATAACGAAATCATATCAGTCCGATAATCTACATCCCCATTAAACATCGACATGTTCGACATTTCTTGAACTTCTCTGAACTTTTGCTGTTAGATTCTGGATCAATGAATTGCGCAATTAAAAATTCAAAAGTTTTATTTGTCCTGTTACCCATAATCCAATGGGCAGAATAAATGATCCAACGAGTAAGGATGATCCGGCAAAAAGGAAAGTCCATACGCTGGAACCTGTTACATCAAAGAGTATTCCTCCAATAATTGGACCCGTGACAGCACCAATTCCATGCATAACTTCCAGATAGCCGTACGCAATATTAAAAAAATCAGATCCTGTCGAGAAAATATAGTTGTGAAGTATGAAATAAAAGTATAAATTCTAATATTATTATCAATTACTGAGATATACTTGAAAATAATTGTTTGGTGTAATTTTCCTAAAACATTTCATAACGGCTCCAACGCGGCTTACAACAGATTGAGAATGTGATATATCTTAATGATAACTATTAAGTTATGATTTGTGTGTTGACAAAAGAGTATTGTATTCACAAAAGAGGCAGCGTGTTAAACGTTAAAATCAAGCGCAGATCGCTCTGTAAGGTAAAATGAATATATTTTTCGTTTCACTTCCAAATAGTTTTTAACTTACCAAAAATTTCATACACCACAACTGGATAGTGAGTCAATCCTGCAAGCATAGCACCCCAGCAGAGGCCGTAAACAATTTGCATGGGGAATGATTTGGCAAATACGGAAAGTAAAGTTAAAACTCCAGCAAAGCTGAAGCATGAGAAATACACATTGTATGTTTTAACAACCTTCCATCTCGATAGTAGACCATACAATATACGAAATATTGCGCTGATTCCAAACGTTGAAACTATCTGAGCAGCTGAAAATATAAATTAATCGGCATAATTCGACATTCACAACATGATTTCAAACGGGAAAAAAAGTAGGTGAAATAATGAAAAGTTTTCGGAGTGATACGCTGTAATTCAGAAATGATACAATTTATCCAATTATGATAAATTAGATGCATAAGTCTCATATATTTACATATAAGCAAACGTGATTTCCCAACAACCCAGCTGAAAACAAATAAGAAAAGAAAATGATAATATTGGTTCAACCTCACCTTGCTCTTCTGTTAGATTTAAATCGTACGATGCCTTGGCTGTTGTCAAACTGAGAACGACAAAAATGCCCACGTACAAAAGCGTATTATGAATAACCATCAAATAAAACGACCAGCTGCATATCAATATCTTAGTTACGTGATAGTATGATAATTTTTCATCTACGTTTGTTAAGTCACAACAATCCTTTTTATTATCTTTTATTGCCTGTGACTGGTCAGCGTTGAAGATACCGTTCGTGTGTTTATGGCTCATGGCATCTATTGGTATGGTTGACCTGCTTTCGTTGGCAAGAAGGATACTTGTTATCGATGTTTGTTGGCCGTCCTTATAAGTATTGCTGTCTTCTAAGATCAGCGATGACGGAGTCGTTATTGTATCAATTTGCTTTTGCTTCCTACACGAGAAAGAAGGTAGTGATGGATATGCATCAACGGGATAGAGGAGAAGACCACCTACAATCATGTTGCCGAAGAAACCTGAAGTTATTAACATAACCCCTCTCCAAGAATATTGTCCAATTAGTGCTTCAAAATACAATGGAAATACAAAGCTTGCTATTCCAAAGGCACTCGTTATTAAGCCAAATCCAAGAGCTTTTTGGTCACGGAAATGATCAACAACAGCGTTGATATATGAAGTAATACAGAAGCAACACCCCAGTCCTAAAAAAGAATAATATTGAATCACGTCACAATGTTTGTGTATTGGAAGAAAAAAGATAATGGTAATGAGACTAAATTTATTATTAATATATAGATTTTATAGTAGTTTTATTCAAAACGTTTCGATTCCTGAGATGTCATGCTTCACGCAAAAATAAAATTTTACATTTGACAATAACTTATCCCATGGAATCAGTTTTCGTTCCACATCAAAACACAAATATTCAAATCTATTAGTATGCATTTCATGTCTAGTTTAGTATATTTGATCGTTTTCATAATAAACAAATTACTGCAATACGAACGAATATATATAGGATTCTCACCTCCTAAAATGCTATACGTAAAAAACAATTGAGATAATGTTTGTGCAAACGAGGACGTTGTAAATGCTGTCATCATCAGAATTCCTCCAATGACATGAGTCCATCTATATCCCAATTTTTCAACACAAAAACAACCGACCGGACCTATGAATTTGAAATAATTAAAAATTTTCTACTGATGAGTGCAGGTCGCTAGATTCTTCAATAAATTGAATTCTATAACTTAGCTCGGTTACTGGTAGTTTATCTACGTACATTCTCATACTATCAACAAGTACGCTGTTACATAAGATAAACCGAGTGGTGTATATGTTGTTAATAGAAAATGTACTAACAAGACCAATAATTTGAATTAATAAACCTTCGTTCATTTTCCATGTGTAATTAAAAATCAGCTCTGGTCCGTAGCCGGTTATTGTACTTCAAATGGTTTATAGTGTTTTTTGAGTTGAGTCCAAGTTTAGTCAATTTCAAGCTAGAAATCCACATATCATACAGAACGGTTGTGAACTACGGCCTGATGACACAATAACTACTCGAGCTCATGTTCACGGTATCCGTCAAGTCGTTTTTCATGACACAAAACATGCGGTGTTGTATTACAAATAGGATAGGATTTACATATTTATCCAGGCGGAGAGGAAAGCCGATAAGACGACTTAACCATATGGCGAACGACGGCCTCTCGTCCAGTTACCATTCCATGTCGGGTATGGGATTAGTTTGTTTTTCGTATATGGACTTGGTGGTGGAGGAAGCCGTCACCGACCAGCGGTTACGTGAATCACCCTACGGCGGCGAGGAGTCCAGCAATCCTCTCGCACATAACCATCCCTGCATGGGATTACCGCACTGTATTAAATTCAATTTCAAACGATTTTACAAATGAGAAAAATGGGTTTGAATAATATGCCTCTAATCAAGTCACGTCTGGAGTGGGTTAGGCACAACATGGTTATCTGTTTTAAACACAATTAAATATTTATCCAGTGGAAAAAAGTGAATATATTCGACCATACACACTTGCAATTGAAGCTATCGCTGCTCCCGAACTTGAAACGGCTGCTACGGAAGCAGTTGTTGCTGAAAACTCGTCTATCCAATACAATACAAATGTTCCAAAGGCATAGTAAAATATTGAAATACATATCGCTGATACGAAGCAAGCGATTAAAACTACCCATCGCCATCTTGAACCGGAATCAGTCATAAAATTTTTGTACTCAAATCTGAAAAGTTATTGCAGTATACTATAAACCAAAGTAAGTTTTAGGTGAGTATTAAGTTATGGAAAGAAGATTGCTACTAATGAAGTTTTTCGGCATTGGTCTCTTTTCATGCTACGTTCGCATAATAACCTGACATACCCCCTTATTACATAACCAATTTGTTAGTCTTGGTTTTGCAGTATTTTCATCTTACTAAAGGAGTCACGAACTACATTTTTGTATTGAACTCAAACAATATATAAATAAGATTAAAAAAATGGAAATTTCCGATGCGGAGAAAAATAGTATTAAAAAAGGCAAAGCGGCGTCCGTGTACCGAAATTTGTGACTGACTTTCGGCTTTCATCTATCTTGATTAATTCTGAAAATAGTTTTTAACCGTCGATGTTTTTTCACCTACTGTCTTTGGTCGAAAACTTCTTCCTGTGGACTTTACTTTCCTCTAACCAATTATACGCTAAACAGCTAGCTCATGGCTGAAACTGTAACTTGCACCGGAGTTACCGGTATAAATATATTGACCCTATAAGAGCTACAACAGCATATATAAATGTGATCTAACGATCCAATTCGAGCAAAGCAGTTGTTTTAAATGTTGATTTTAACGTATAATTTGAAATAATCGTTCCGTAGTACTAACTGATACAAACTTAATCTGTACTTTCACAATACAGAACACTCATCTACTCTCTTTATTCTAAAACGATTTCAATCATCCACACAATGCCCATACTAACGCAAATGTTTACTATGACACCACTTGACAATGTAAACACCGAAAGATGTATATTTACACAGTATCATGGGTCGCGTTAGGTACGAATAATTCAAATTCAATTATTTTAAGATTGCTTTTACTCAAATAGGTAAAAGAAGAAAGACAATCGTAATATTTCTATTTTACACATAAAGTTAGACCGAAATTCACTTATGTTTATATATACCAAATGTATTCATATATGAATATATATGAATTTCATATATGTTATGCATTTTATTTTATTCACCAAATATAATAAATTGTAACATATATTATTAAATTCGTTACATTTAATACAACCAAACACCTCTGTCAGCTTAATACAACCAAATATACCCCTGTCATCTCAAAACAACCAAATACCCTTGGCATCTTAATACAACCAAACACCCTGTCATCTTAATACAACCAAATACGTAGTGATCTTAAAAAGATCGTTCTTATTTTGGGAAAACAAATAAAAACATTCACACAGAAAAATATTCTATATGCTTTCAAACAAAAATTTCAGACGAACCTTCCTAGACATTGACTCTCTTCCAGCTCTGGACCCATTTTATTTTACATGGGTATTTTCAAAATTATTTTTTTGTCAACCATTAAGCCCTAAAGCTTCACTCATGGCTTTTTAAAAGCGTGTGCTAGAGTTCTATTCAGCAATATATCTTTAAAACACACTCCTCCGAAAAAAAAAATTTTATGCAAAAAAAATATCAAAAATTTCTAAAAAAAAAATTGGACCTTGAGAAATTCTGTGTACAGTAGAGGGTTAATAATTAATTCCTAATTAATTAATTTTTTCTTCAACGTTTTCGTCAAGTTTTTCCTAACGTAACAATACCAAAACGACTATTTTAGCATAAATGGTTATTACTCTGAAATTCACAATTGTATTTACAGTATTATCAAGTTCAACGCTTCAATTACCGATTTTAATGACGTCACAGTTCTTATTATTACTGCACAGACCACCCCCAATGCAAAAAAATTAAATTTTTTCGCAGAAATGCGCGTAGAACGACGTAAACAATCCCATACGCGCATTTACGCTTAAAATTACCATTTATATTACGTTTTTTTACATACAAAAAATCTCCATACCTCTGCCAAGTATGGAGCAGTCGAAATCATATTTATCAAAACAACACAGCGCCAGGGATGGTCAGGAATGGTATGTATGACTGAAAATACATGCTAAACCAGTGGTTCCCAAACTTTTTAGAGTTGGGACCCACTATTTATTTCCACAGCTTATGGCGACCCACTTAACTTTAATTTAATTTTGTTTTTATATGACATAACACAGAACACAGCAATGGCTAATCATCGCAAAACTACCGTGTTTCCTCGAAATGAAGACCTGGCCTGAAAATAAGACCTAATTTGAATTTTCAAAATGATTTTAATTAAACCCTACCCTTAAAGTAAATTTATAATGTGTGGGAGAAAAAAGGTTCATCGTTCATTGGCCTGAGGTAAGGTGAGGATCACACGTCACACCACTATTCAAGATTGTGTGATATCACAATTATGATATTTGTCACTTGATTTTTGTAAAGAAAATAAAAACAATGGATGTCGGTTTTTATATAATGTTTAGTAAAAAATCTTGTGATTTTCTACAATGTAATTTTATTTTTGATAAATGAATACAAAAGACCTCTTCCAAAAAAAACGTAGTGTTATTCTTCAAAAGAAAATAAATCTAAATCCTGTCTAAATTTCTGGGAAACACGGTAAGAAGTGCTGTACAGTGTACAAAACTGCTATGCGTAAAAAAAAGCCACATGGTCATTCTTTGTGTAGCAAATTTTTGTTCCTTTGAGAAGATCGTAAAAAGGAAACTTTCACAGATTATAATTTAAATTTAATTTATTTTGTTTTTTTGAAGATTTACGTATTCGAGTCGCCACCGATCCTAATAACCAGTATATTTGACCAAAGCTCCCTACATCTTTTCTCGACCCGCTAAGATTCCTTTTGCGACCCACCAGTGGGTCGCGACCCATAGTTTGGGAACCGCTGTGCTAAACCAATAATAAGTCATTATAAAGGAGTATTTCCTGTCTGAGCTGAGTCGACATTTTCAGACGTCTGACAGGCGATTTTGAAATCCACGCTATTTATAGTTTCGCACTTTGCGTCACGGCTGTAAGGTTTTATCGCTTCTCTCATATCAGGCAGGGCATTAGGTCAATAAACAGCTAAGAGCGATATTAACAGTAGCTTACCGATCGCAAACGTGAATATAAATTTTATCTCATATGAGCTTACCCGCTGGATACAGAATAAAATACTTTATGCAAATTTACTCAATAACTCTTGGACTAAATATTGATAAAAGGTTGTATAAAAAACACTTCAAAAGTAGGTAAAGAGGCAGAGACACATTCCTCACTTGTCTTATATATTTAAGTGCTATAAATGGTGCTATCATTTGCGGAACGTGGACAAAACACTATGATTTTTCACTATGTCTTTTTATGATTTATTTATTAACAATGTAGTGTACAAACTGAATAAAACATTGCCTTTAAATTTCGAGTTTTATGATTTGATTATACGCAAAAAGTGATGGGTCTATCAACTGCCATTTTGCGTATCTTTTTTGGGTTATTTGTATTTTGACCTTTTTTTTCTTTTTTGCCTGGAAACATAGTTCATCTTTGCAATTTGATACCGAGCTGCGACATCTTGCACATTAACCTTTCTCGCGATTTTAGCTTGATTTTAGTTCGTAAAATATGATTTGCGCTTTTTGTACGTTTATATGTAAATTTGTTTGCTATTGACAGTCATTTCCATCCCTTTATATTCGCACCAGTTTAAAATAATGGGACTATCTAACTATCTTTTTGTTTCAAATGCTATTCTATAATATCAATTTTGTGTAACCAATCACACTACTACCGGTTAGAGATGAACCGCCGCCCTCATCGCTTTTAATTAAAGTGAGCATTTGATAAGTTCAGAAAATTTGGGATCTTTACGAAGATTTTGCCACATCTTACACAATATCGCGATGATCAAACACAATTGAACGATAGAATTAGTACTCTGGCACAATTGACAACACTAATAACACACACGAAAGTATTTCTTCAATACAGTGGTTCTCAACCTTTTTGAGCCTGCCGAAATCAATGCTATTCTGCAAGCTCCCGTCGAACCCAATCGTATTGAACCGTTGACACTAGCCCGATTGGAACTTCATATTGACTATGAGGAAAGATTTCTTGTACCAAAAACAGAGGAAGACAACGCCAAAATATACCGGCAGTCTGAATAACTACTCAACGAGGAAGGAATCCCTCAACAATGAACTCATTAGGAGAACTAACAAAAGGTTGGATTGGAAGGCCATGGTCGACGATGTCTGTAAAAGACCTGGTACACGAAGAAGATAAAGTTTTCGTAGCTTAGTAATATTCCCGTTTTGGGGTCGCTCGAAGATCGACTTGAAATCGGAGTGGTAACTCAATCAAATCTTGCTTTGTCTTTCAGGGAATAAAAAGCAGAAATTTTTGAATACTTGAGGGAAGTTATGTGCTTTGCGTTTCTCTAGAACATATCTACAAATTTTGTAATGCTACAAGCCTACAAAGTATTACAGGCATTAAGAATTACTATGTTCATAGTGATTTACCAATGTCGTTTCTAAATCTAACTGCTTGAAATCTATACGTCAGACACGTTAACAAAATATTCGGATCTTTCAGAAACAGAATCTATTCAAAAATTATTTTGTAAATGATTATGGGTCCTGGATCGGTCTATACCTAGTAGAATTGCCAACTTTTATATCAACAAATTTTAATAAAGCACACAACTTTTATGCTGCCCGGGACGAGTTTCTGATAACAATGATCCTTTTACCTAACTTCAAAAATAATGAGTAAGAATGAAATGTTTGTATTGTTTTCATTTCAATCATTATACTAACTTTCAACTAACCTCTATAACTTGCCCCAGTCTAGACCACCCCGCACTTTTTTGGTCAATTAAGTGCTGAACCGGTAAATAGGGAGGAAAAAAAAACTTTTTATACGCGCATAATCCCGGGACTAAAACCACGAATGGAAACCATTTGGAACATGTTGAAACACTAACGAAACAAGTTTATAATATGGAACTTGTGTGCCACTTGCTCCCAGTTGTTTTGCATTATGCAAGCGATTTAGCCTTTTGAATTACGCTATAATTTTATTGAATCAATGACATTTCGTCGAAGAGGTCATCCATGTTCAAGCA